ATATATAATTTTTAGTTTTGTTCCACATTTTTCTCCCATTCTATCCAGGATCTCCAATTTTTATCCCTTTCTGAGTGGCAATAGTAGCCAGGCACCATCTCATTCTGGTCTCAGGGTCATTTAGCCTGAGATTCCCATGGTCTACTATTCCTCTGCACTAATTGTTTCCATCTGTCTTTGATTTCCTTCATTCTTCTTTGCTGCAGACAAGGAGTGACCAATAGTTGCATCTGAGGTGGCCACTCACAAGCTTTTAAGACTCCAGTTACTACTCACCAAAATAGATGTAGAACACTGTTTTTGCATACTGTGTACCAGGACTAAATTTTAAAATAGACCTTTCAGAGTCAGCCCAGTCCTTTGTTCTTAATCTATAGATCAGCCTGCATTTGGCATTTTTATGAAGCAAATGGAAAGTCCTGTTGCCTTGAGAAATACATCCTAGTGGCTTGACATTGTGAGACAATTGCTTTTTCTTTTTCAATAACTCAAATGGGTCAAGTATGTTTTTAAGGAAATACTTCTGTTTCCAGACATTTTAATGATAATTTAATACATAAATTATTCATTGTTTTATTTGGCACAAACATTGAGAAGGACACTACTATGTGCCAAGCATGCCAGAACTATGTACATTATTTTCTCATCTAAGTCTTGTCATTTTACAGATGAGAAAACTGAGTGTAGAGTGACTTTTCAAATAAAATACCTATTAAATTTTCAACTGAGATTAGGTAGTTTACCAAAATTCACACAGCTGGTGGCTCCCTAAATCTTCTGATTAAAACCAATACATACTTCAAGCATGTGAGTTAGATGGTTCTTTGCCAATTTAAGGAGAATAATCTATACTTTTGGAGATTTTTGAAGAAAGTGTCATTTTAAAATTATAACAATATTATAGTAACGCTTTATGGACATGTAAAAAAGAAAAAAAATTTAAATTTTAAGATCCCTACCCGGACCTTACTCTCCCAACAAATAATCTACTTTTAGTTTCCATCTCCTTTTAGTAACTGTCCATATTTATGCACATTTTATATAATTGTAATGAAAACGAACATACAGTATTATTTTTTTGTGATTTCCTTTATCATTATATCATGTTTCAATGTTACTACATTTCTTTCATAATATTCATCTTATTGATAAATCAGAGTTGGTTTTTTTTCACATTTGGTTTATTTCTAATTTTTGTTCTTTCCTCTTTCTGTCCCACCACTCTTCCTGTCCTGTGATTTAACATCATCCCTGGTTATGCTGAGGGCAGCAATCTGGAATTTAAGCCAGATGAAATTGGAGTGAAGCCATAAAACACTATTTTTGTTTTTTAGTGAAGTAGTAATTTCTCACTTTTAAAACATGATTTTTCTTTCTCCTTTCTGCCACTGTTAGTTTCTGCCAAGTGGTAACCTGTGTGACATACCTTTTATAGCTGTTAACATTTGACAATCAGCTGCAACCATGTTCCCTTTACATAGCTGGTATCCTTGTTAATGGAAAATGCAGTGTATCTGGTTGCCTAGGTTACTCCTCCACAATGTGCTTTATGTATTAGTTCTGGACTTAAAGCACTTAAAAATAAATCAGGCAGGTTAAGGCAAACATTAATCCTTGCTCCAGAGTGTGTTCTTATTTTTTTAAGTTAATGAGCCAGAGCAATAGAATGTTCTTAGTCTAAAGCCCCAAATGAATTGTGGGCCAAACAGGTATATTTCTTATCCAAGTGGGTGGTCAAGGTGTTGAAGTTCACAGTATTATGGAGAAAAGAGGCTTCTATTTGGTGGATCTTAGGTTGCCTGAGAAAGCCAAGCTTTTCTGCTGGTTCACTCTTCCCTACAAAGGGCTCAACTAGTTGCCATCAAGTCAATTCTGGACTCATGGCAATCTCATGTGTGTCAGAGAAGAACTGCTCCATAGGGTCTATGATGACTGATTTTTCAGAAGTAAATGGCAAGGACTTTCTTCCCAGGCACCTCCAGGTAGACTCAAACCTTCAATCTTTTAATTAGCAGCCAAATGCATTAACTGTTTGTACCACCCAGGAACTCCCAAAGGGCATTAGTAAAAGCTATGAGGTCTGGTGTCTGCCTAAGGGGCTTGCAGTCTAGTTGGAAGATATATAAACTTTGAAAGGGAACAATTCAGGTAATACCTGAGTACCATAGGGCTAACAGATGTTTGAAGAAGTGTACATTCCATGATTGGTTGGTCAGGAGGCGTCTCATGGAATATGTAGACTGATGTGGCTTTGAGGCTTAGGTTCATTCAGTCAAGTGTTTGAGTGGGGGACACAGTAATGAACAGGTGCCTGCTTTTATGACAATTACATTCTAATCTAGGGGAAGACAGACAATAAATGAAATGATTTCAGAAAGTACAATGAAGAAACTAAAAGAAGGTAATGTAACAGAGGATGAGGTAAGGGAACAGTGCCACTTTAGATGGGGCAGTCAGGGATGGGCTCTCTGAGAAAGTGATCTTTAAGCTAAAACCCTAATGATGAGACAAAGTCAGTCCTGGATCTGGAGAAAACTTTCCAGGGTGAAGGAACAACCAATGCAGGAGTCCAGTGTTTGAAAATTAGACCAAAACCCCTCTCTTTCTTCAGGTCTCTGCTCAAACATCTCACCAGAGAGGCCTTTCCAGTCCCTCCTGTCTAAAATAGCATGTGGTGCTTCATTCACCTGCTCCCCATACCTTGCTTTAATTTTCTTCATGCTATTCATGACATGACTATATTTTGTATTCATTTCTTTCTCTCTGCCATTCCCAACAAGAACATAAACTCTGTGAGATCTGGGACTTTGTTTTGTTTATTACTGTATCCCAAATGCCTGGCATACACAAGTGCTCAATAAATAGTTGTTGAAAGGTCCATGTGGCTGAACATAGTGAGCAAAGGGGAGAGTAGTACAAAGCTCAGAGGAGGAAGTAGGTGGGGAGGAAGGGATTCCAAGCATGTGAGGGAATATTCAAGGGCTCTTTGAGTACAGTCCAAAGAACAGATGCTCAGGGGCAGAAGGTCTTATCTAGAAAGCAAACCAAATTACCCCTTAGAACACTAGTACACCTATCCATCCTACTTCCCTCCCATCTCCTTTCAGCCCTCCTTCCCTCCCTCCCTTCTTTTCTTCATGTTTATTGAACACTTCTTAGGGTCACTGGCACCAGAGTTAGAAAGGAAAAGTATGATACAATGTATATTTGACTTTGGAGTCCTTCCTGAACACATGAAAAGATAGAATCTTACAGGGAAGTGAATCATTTGACACAAATTCTTATATGTATTTCTAGTTTTTCCTTGTTGCTTTATACCATTAATATTTATACCTGGTAATTAGTTTAAAAATTATAGTTCTGGGAATTGATTTTTGATTTACTAATGCTGATATATATTATATATATATAATATTATATACTTATATCAGCATATATATATATATATATATATACACACACATACATACATATATATATATGTTAGAGCTCTGGTGGTGTAGTGCCTAAGGCATTTGACTGCTAACCAGAAGGCTGGCAGATCAAACCCACCAGCCACTCCTTGGAAGGAAGACTGGGCAATCCACTTCTGTAGTGATACTGCCTTGGAAACCCAAGGAGGGGTTGCTAAATCCCTAAAGTAAAAATAATCAAATTCTTTGCCATCAAGTCAATTCCTACTCATAGCGACCACCACTGGTTTTCCAAGGTGGTAAATCTTTAGGGAAGTAGATTGCCCCATCTTCCTTCCAGGAAGCAGCTGGTGGTTTGAACCACCAACCTTCTGGTTAGGAGTCAAATGCCTTAGGCGCTGCGCCACAGAGCTCCTTATAGGAATCCCTGCTGTTGTTGTTGTTGTTGTTTGCCGTCGAGTCGGACCCGACTCATAGCGACCCCTCCTTGGGTTTCTGAGGCAGTATCACTATGGAAGTAGATTGCCCTATCTTCCTTCCGAGGAATGGCTAGTGGATTTGAACCGCCAGCCTTCTGGTTAGCAGTCAAGTGCTGTAGCCACTGTGCTACCAGAGCTCTAGGTGGTGCAAAAGGAGTCCTGATTGCTCAGTAGTTAAGCGCTTGGTTGCTAACTGAAAGGTCAGTGATTTGATCCTGCTAGCTACTCTGTGGAAGAAAGATTTGTCAGCCTGCTTCCATAAAGATTTATAGCCTTGGAAACCCTATGGGGCAGTTCTACTCTGCTATACAGGGTCTCTATGAGTTGGAATCAACAGCAATGGTGTTTTGTTTTGTTTTGTTTTTGTTTCTGTTTAGATTATACCAATAGTTAATGCACCCAGCTGCTAAACTGAAAGATTGATGGTTCAGGTCCACCCAGAGGCACCTTGGATGAAAGATCTGGCTATCTACTTTCAAAGCATCACCCATTGAAAACTGTATGAAACATAGTTCTACTCTGATAAACATGGAGTTGCCATGAGTCAGAATCAAATTGTTGATGACTGGTTTTTATATCATATATATATTTGATTGTGTGTCTCTCTCAGTATATATATAGGTAATCAAATAATTGTTATAAAGGATTTGTATATAAAACTGATAAATAAGATCAATGTAAAGATGTAGAAGTTGATTCACATGTATTTAATGAGAAGTCTATTTACAAACAATAGAATATATTGAGTGTAACAGCCTGTGACTGGAATTGGGAAGAACAGAGTACCATGTTTTCTCATTTTTTTTTCCCTCTCAGGAATAATTCCAGCTAATGGGAAGGTGAATGTGACTATCAAGTTTACACCATTTCAGTATGGTACTGCACAGATCAAAGTGCAGTTATGGATTTCACAGTTCAACTCTCAGCCTTACGAATGTGTATTCACTGGGACATGCTACCCCAACATGGCTTTAAAGTATGTTTTGTTTATTCTTACAATTTTTCAAAAATCCAAATCTTCCTTTCTTCCATTCTGTTTTTCTTTCTTGTGACAGAATACAATCAAATATTTATCTTAAATGAACATAAAATATGCTTTAATGTATAACAGTAATATGCCAAATATCTCTGTATTGGTAACAGCAATTGCTTCTGCAAAGGGGATAGAAATGACTGAGAGAAAGGGGTTTTCTAGGGATATCTTCTTTTCACTGATTACTCCTGATGTGCTGTTTGAATTTTTGACCACTTTACTGTCTGTTCAAAATTTTTAATAATAAAACCAGAACAAAATACCTACTTTTAAAGTTTAAATAGAAAATAATAATTAATTGAGTGCCTGTATGCAATACCCAGAGCAAAGCCCCATGGGAAATGGCCCACACCCTCAGATATTCACAAAAGAGGAGCAGAAATAAATCATGCACAACAACTATAGATACTGAAATGTGCTGCACAGAAGGTTTTTTTAAAGCACCATCAAAGTTCAAGTTAAAGATGTGAAATGGGTAATACATCTTTTCTAAACTTGCATATTCATTTGAATATGAGTTTATATTTTTATATCTTAATATATGTAGTTAATATTGTAAATTTTTTTCTAATACATATGACTTTTATAAAAGTTAAAAGGAAAGTTGTCACAATATAAATACTCATCTTGGGAAATCTTTAAAATTATTTGGAGAATGAAAAGAAATATCTTGATTTTCTTCCTCTATATACATTACATATTAACACCATTAGACATATTACAAGTTCAGTAACAATCTTATGCCAAAATATGAAGTAATTCCATGCTTTATTATTCGTTTATACCTTAACTTTCTTCCTAAAAGTTTGAAGTAGTCCAGTGTGGCTTGCTGAACCCAAACCTTGCAAGAAACCAAAATCACTAGGGCAACAAACAAGTAGAACTGAATATAAGTGAAGAATAGTGTGAATTTTTCTGGTGTCAGATAACTGGCCAAGCCAAATGTTCTTTGTCCTCTCTTGTCATGTGCTGCAGTGTGCAAAAGACATCTTACTAGTGGGGGTTTTCACTCATACATCTCCTTCCACAAACTCGTTCTCAGATACATGAGAACACCCTTGGACAGTAGAAGCCCAGTACAAATGCAGATATGCACTGTTTCTAAACGACACTGCAACCTGAGAAAGCCGGAACTTTATAAGGTAGAAACCTGTCAGAGAAGGAAAACTCAAATAATTTCCACTAGTAGAGAGTGATAGAAAAGTAGTGTCTGCACCCTGTCAAAGGTAGAAAACTTGCAAGACCTGGAAAGCAAGGTCCTCCCATAGAGTTCCTGCTCACAAAGATTTTGCTATATTATGTTTTGGTCCTCAATTACAGTTTAAAATTGTGTCTTATTTAATACATTTCTGGTATTTTCAGGGACTATATCTCAAGGCCTACATTTCTCCCCAAATTGCAGTTAGTACTGTAGTATGCAAAGACCTCTGGTAGCACAGTGGGTAAGGCATTTGGCTGCTAAGCAGAAGGTTGGCAGTTCAAACCCACTAGCTGCTCCCTGGGAGGAAGATGAGGCAATCTACTTCCATAAAAACTTACAGCCTTGGAAACCTAATGAGGGTTGCTATGAGTTGGAATCGACTCGATGGCAGTGGGTTTGGTTTTATTTATTTATTACAGCATAAACATTCTAACATGAAGGAAAGAAATATATACTGGCTATAGTGTTCTCTGAAAGTTTCATAGATTTTCTCATTTCAATATAAGGTATGTAGACCTACTTGTGCCAAATTCTACATGTAACTCTTTAGTTTATCACTTTCTTAGACTCTGACTGCTAACCAGAAGGCTGGTGGTTCAAATCCATCAGCCACTCCTCAGAAGGAGGGTTGGGCAATCTACTTCCATATGCTACTGCCTTGGAAACCCACGGAGAGGTCGCTATGAGTCGGGTCTGACTCAACAACACATAACAACACAACAACAATCATATCCATTATCTGTACTAACAATCACATTTCTTTACAAGAGTTTATTTTTCACATTGCTGATACTGCTTCCCAGAATTTACAACGGAAGTGATGTTAAAGCTACAACTCACTCCCCAGCTAAGCATCTCATCCCTGCATGAGAATGTGGAAGCCAATGTGAGTATCACCAAATGACAGGTTCTTCAAGACACTCTTAAGCAGGTGGATGTTAAATCTGAGATTACTAATGTATATCACATATTATCTAGTGGAGTGTATTCAGTAGAAGCTCAGGAAATGCCTATTGACTGACTGTCAGAATGAATGAATATTAGTATCCAAACCCACTGCTATTGAGTTGATTCTGATTCATAGTGACTCTGTACAATACAGTAGAACTACACCAAAGGGTTTCAAAGGCTATAAATCTTTATAGAAGCAGATTGCCTCCTCATCTTTCTCCCACAGAACAGCTGGTGGGTTTGAATCACTGACTTTTTGGTTAGCAGCTTAATGCTTTAACAACTATGCTGCCAAAACTCCTTGAATATTAGTATATTCCTACCTAATTTCTGTATGGGAATTCATGGGTGGCATAAATAGTTAAGAGCTTGGCTACTAACTGAAAGGTTGGCAGTTAGAATCCACACAGAAGCCCCTCAGAAAAAAAGACCTGGTGATCTGCATCAGAAAGACCACAGCCATTGAAAAGCCTATGGGGTATAGTTTTACTCTGAAACACATAGGGTCACCATGAGTTAAAATCATCTCCACAAAAGCTAGTTTATCTAATTTCTGTAATGTCATAGACTTACATAATCCTATGAAACAAGTGTTCACTTTCTTGCTGAAAGAAATGCTTTCTTGGTAGCATTTCTGAATATAACATGCTTTTCCTACATATCATAATAACCAGTTCTAATAGCTTCTGCAGAGTCCCTGAGTAGCATAAATGCTTAACTCACTTGGCTGCTAACTGAAAGGTTGGAGGTTTAAGTCCTCCTAGAGGCACCTCAGAAGAAAGGTCTGGTGATCTACTTCTGAAAAATCAGTCATTGAAAACCATATGGAACATAGTCCTATCCTGACATTCATGGGGTCACCATGAGTCAGAATCAACTAAAAGGCAATTGGTTTATTGGAATAGCTTCTACAGGCATGTAAGAGGCACTGTCACTACCTACATATGTCCCAAGACAGTTTTCAGTTACAGAAAAGATCCAAATCATTAGTCTGGACCTCTTTTAAAAGATCTTTTCACAAATATGGCCATAATCATTCTGTAACTAAAGAAGATAAATCAATGTAAGATATTTTTAAATGTAATAAATTTAACTGTTGTAAACCAACAGCCTAGAAATTAATTATACTACACCATGAGTATTTTTCATTTTATCATGCTTTTCACTTGCTATGTTCTCTAAGAATGAAGGGAAAAACAGCCATTGGTGGGTTATTCTGATCTATAGTTAAATTCTGATATATTGACATTACATTTACTTTAGTAGATCACTGTTATAGCATGAAGATTCATTTTTAGTTTAAATATAATAATTAATGAGCTGTAAGTCATGGTTATTAGCAGAAGAAGCATAAAAACAGGAGCTTTGTCAATATACAATAAGGTGGTAATCAGCACAGTATAGTTAAGGAAAAAGAAGACAGGAGAGGTGCCCACGAGTTACAGACAACAAAAGTAAATAGTATTACATACAGAATCCTGAATTATCAGAAATAACAAACATTAATCTACGAGTGGATACATACACAGACAGGAAAGATGGACAGGTATGGGTAGGTGAACGGGACTACACTCCCATAACCATATATAGGTTTGGCAGATGATATTTCTACAAACATATTTATATGTGTTGTAAGTATATCAATGTATATAGTAAAGCAAACAGGGGGCAAAGTTATGAAAACTTCTTAGCCATAACCAAACACCTTGGGGGAATGAGTCAGTGGGCCTAGGAACTCAGGACAATAGTTACTGGGGAGATCAAGGCCAATTGGTATAACACAGTGCACAAAGATAGTGTTCTACAACCTACTTTAATGAGTACTGGCTAGGATCTTAAAAGCTTGCAGGTGCCCAACTAATATGCAATTATTGGTCTCTCCCCATCTGGAGCAAAGAAGAGTAAAGAAAATCAAAGATGCATGGAAACAATTAGTCCAAAGGACTAATGGACCATGCAAACTTCAGCCTCCATGAGCTTGAGACCAGAAGAACTAGATGGTGCCTGGCTAGCACTGCTGACTGCTCTGAAAGGGATCACAATAAAAGGCCCTGGATAGAGTGGGTGAAAAATGTGGGACAAAACTCAAAGTCATAAAAAAAGACCAGATTTATTGGTCTGATAGAAACTGATGGAACTTCCAAGACTGTGGGCCTTAGTAACACTTCGAACCTGGAAGTGAACTCACCCCCAAGGCTCAACTTTCAGCCAAACAATAGAGGTGAAAAATAATGCCAAGGAGATACAAATTCCTTAGAACCATCTACCCTATGAGATCAAAAGGGCAGCGTTTGTCCAGGGATAAAGTTCAGAACACAGGAAAAGGTAAAAAAGAAGGACAAATTGAGATGAAAACTCAGGGAAGAAGTGGGAAGAGTTCTGTTACAATGTGGGGATTGCAGTCAATGTCACAAAACAAAATGTTCATGAATTATTGAATAGAAAATGAATTAGCTCTGTAAACTTTCACTGACATCACAATAAAAAGTTAAAAAAAAATAGGAGCTTTGAGTTGTTGGATTATATAGCAATTTAATATCTGTCTTTAAACCATAGATTAGAAGAATTTGAAAGATTAAACACTCTTTCTAAGAAAGTAAACGTTCCTCCAGAAAAGACAATGACATATACACATTTTCACAGACTACCAGCAAAGGCAAAGCCTCAAAAGATAAAGGTAAAGTGGGCATTATCCTGAGCATGATGGAAGGAATGAGAAAGAAACAAAATAATTTATTTTCCCTCCTGATTTGGTCTCTTAGGAAATTGAATACCAGAATTTGAGATTTCCAGTAGATTTATCAAATCCATTTGCTGTGGCAAGTGTTTTAAACCAAGAACCAGGAAAGTTGAAGGTCAAAAAATTGAGAGAAGGTAACCAGTTGATCCACCGTAAATCAATCCCAAGGTAGAATAGTAGAATTACTGTTTGTCGTATTTACGATTTACAAACAACAACAAAAGTCAGTTGGATAACTATTGTGTTTTGCTTTTCTCTTGGCAAATGCTTCTGATTTGATTACTAATATAATAATTATTTGTTCCTGCCTTCAGTTTTGGACCAAGGCAATGAGATTTCAAAAACAAGACAAATGAAGGAAGCTCTTTTTGAACAGAAAGTCAGACAGGACACTTATGAAGAAGTTGCAAATCATCTTAAGTGGTAAATATTGTTCAATTTTTGTGTCAAGTGACAGGGTGGTTATTTTTAGGTGATGACTTTCTTTTGTATGAGATACAATGAAATATAATGATATTGTATGCACTTAGGAGAATGTGATTATTCTCTCCCTTCCACTCACCCTTCTATTTCAGAATGAAACTTCTATCTGAAATAAATTAATGTGATTAAATTGTACTCTTACCTAAGTGTAACCAGATAGTGGCAGAACATGAGTGAATTGTGGGAGAAGCTGGCCCATATTCAGTGGGGGGTGCTCTTCCCTGCTAGCCACTGCTGCCAGCACTCCCTTCACTCCAGGACAGGTCTGAGTTACTTGGGCATCCCAAGTCTCACCCATCAACTCTCACCCCATCACGAGCCCCTTGTGACTTGAGCTGATACCCTCCAAGGAGCCCGGTGATACAGGGTAATGAACCTAGGGTGAGGATGGGGATGGGATCCTGGTGGAGGTTTGAAAATTCAAATGTGAGAATTCTTGCACTTCTGTGCTCAAAATGGAACCATTTTCACAATTTTTTTTTTTATACCAGATCATACTAGGCATATTCATTTATACAGATAAGAATGTGTTCTGACTGATCTTGAGGGCCTTCAAAGATTATTCTACTACCCTTCTACCCTATTCTAATGGGGAATGGCCTTTGTTTTAGACAGCAATCTCTCCATTTTCATGGTATGACTGCAGTTAAATAGGAAGTACACAAAGTAACTGAAGATCATTTTTTAAAATATTTTTTTCCCAGTTATATGCCATTGTAGAAAACCTGAAAATATTGGGGGAAAATTATAGAAAAGGAACAAAAATCACGTATAATCCCACTTTTAAAATTTAGTTGTTTTTTTTCCTTCTCAGCTTATTTGCAACATACTTGAAATCACATCTAAATTCAATTCTATATGCTATGTTTTCCACTTAATATCTTTCCCAACATTTTATGTTGAAAGATTTGAAACCTGCAAGTTACACCCATATACACTTGACCTAGGTTCACTAATTGTCAGCATTATGCCACATATACTCCCCCTTATAAACACACACAAACATGTCATATTTTTTGCTGAACCATTTGAAATTAAATTGCAGACAATCATGAATCTTCACCCCTAAATGCATCATCATGTAGCTCCTAAGAACAGAGACATTCTCTTACATTACCATAATGACTTTCAAGAAATTTAACATTGATAAATTAATAATAATAATAAGTCCATAGGAAAATTTCCCATGTTGTTCCAATAATGTCCTTTATAGCTGGGAAGTTTTGTTTTGTTTTGTTTATAGAGAAGAGGAATCCAAGGTCAATTAAAGATCAAACAGTTTTCATGTCTCTTTAGTCTCCTTTATTCTAAAAAGTTCTCCAGACACCTATCCTTTCCTTTAAAATTATAGCTACTATTTATTTTGAATCTATGCTAAACTCCTTGATTGCTATATTACTTACCAGATTTTATTTTGGGATAAAATCTACATAACATAAAATTCACCATTTTAACTACTTTCAAGTATACAATTCAGTGGTCTTTAGAATATTCACAATTTATGCCATTGTCACCACTATCTAATTCCAGAATGTTTCCATCATTCAAAATGAAATGCTATATCCATTAAACAGTCATTTCCCATTCCTCCCTCCCCATGAGCTCAGAAAAAAAGCAATCTACTTTCTGTCTCAATGGGCTTGCCAAATCTGGACATTTCATATAAGTGAGATCATGCAACATGTGATTGTTTTGTGTCTGGCTTCTTTACTTAGCATAATGTTTTAAAAGTTCATCCATATTGTATAGCAAGTATCATTACTCTATGTTTACCTTTTTGAGAAACTGCCAAACTGTTTTCCACCAGCAAAGTATGAGGGTTCCAATATCTCCATATACTCACCAATACTTGTTATTGTCATTTTTGTTTTGGTTTGTTTTTTATTTTTATAGCATCCCAGTGGGTGTGAAGTGAAACCTCATTGTGCTTTTGATTTGCATTTTCCTAATGACTAACGATGTTAAGCGATCAGATTTCTTAAGTCATAAATATTTTATCATGTGTCAGTAGACTATAAGCTTCATTTTGTAGAATACATTATTCATTTCAGTTATGTTGCTGAAGTTTCTACAACTTCTCTCCCTCATGATGTCTCATCAGCCCTTTTAATTTGTGAAGTATAGCTAAAACATTCCCTTCTAAAACTGACTATGGTATTCTGATGGGTTTTGAATTTGTTTTTCTTCTCCCCAGGCAAGTACACCTCGGTAAAGATCCCATATCTTTTAAATTAAAAAAAGAGCTTACTGAAGAACATCAGAGAGCATACACAAAATATAAGGTCAGAATTACTGCTACCTTGATATCATTTATTTCATTAAATATTTTGCATTCCTTCTATATGTAAGATGCTGTATTAGGAGAAAGAGAATGTATAGTTAAGTTGGGAGTAGGGGAGGCTGATGACAAGTAAATTGCTAACTATAAATCAAGGTTGACTATAAATGCACAAGAGGCCTGTACTAAGTATTGTGCAGGTTCAGAAGCTACAGCGGAATGATCCTCTAGCTGGAAAGCTTTCCTGGAAGACATGGTATAATTTTGACATGGTATAATCTAGAAGACATGGTAGGATTTTGAAAAGTAATGAAGAGGACAGAACATTCCAGATGAAGGGAATGGCTCAAAGTCAGGCTGGACTTAAAGGCATGAGATTCATCTGTGTATGATCTGCAAGCATGAAGACAAGAGAGACCCCAAAACAGTAACCAGGAGCCATGCTGGACCAGAGACAAAGAATCCCTGGCAGAGACAGTCAAAGAGGAGGAGCAGAGAGGGGGAAATTGGTTAAGGGAAATAGGGCTACATCTGGGTCACCAAGACAACACCTGTAGGTTCAGGGTGGGTAGATTAGAGACAGAATCTGAGGGACTGTGAAACACTAATGGCCTCATCATGGTTTGGGAAACAGGTAGCCTAGTGGAGGGCAGGTGCATGGAATGCTGAGGATAAGCCATAATAGCTAGAACATAGGCCACAAATGGTTCATAGGAAATAGGCCTTGGCTGTGGCTCTGTGTAGCTGGGATTTGAAAGCCCTAATGACATGCTCAGACTCACTTGGAAGACCTTGCAGATTCATCATTGTATTAAGCTTAGGATTATAAGTAAGGTTCAGGTGAAATAACTTGATAGCAATGGGTAGGATGGATTAGGACAATCTGTCTTTTGTCAGCCCCCGGGTTACAGGTGGGGAGAGACAACTCAGGAAGGCCCGAAGTAGCAAGTGGGAAGAGCAGGAGAAAGGGGATAAAAAGCCAGGAACCCGGACAGAAGAGCAGTCAGCCCGAGGGTTACAGGTGAGGAGAAACAACTCAGGGATGCCCAAAGTAGCAAGCGGGAAGAACAGGAGAAAGGGGATTAAAACCAGGAAGCCAGAGAGGAGCAGTCAGCCGAAGGGATTAGGTGAGGAGAGGAAACTCAGACCCGCCCAGAGTAGCAGGCCGGAAGAGCAGAAGAAAGGGGATAAAAGCCAGGAAAACCCAGACAGAAGAACCCCAGGGTTACAGGTGAGGAGAGACAACTCAGTGACGTCCGAAGTAGCCAGTAGGAAGAGCAGGAGAAAGTGAATTAAAAACCAGGAAGCCAGAGAGAAGAGCAATCAGCCAAAGGGATTAGTTGAGGAGAGAAAACTCAGACCAGCCCAAAGCAGCAGGACCAGAGAACAGGAGAAAGGGGATAAGAGCCTGGATCCCGGACAGAGGAGCAGTCAGCCCCAGGGACAACTCAGGGACGCACAAAACAGCAGGGCAGAAGAGCAGGAGAAAGGGGATTAAAAGCCAGGAAGCCAGACAGAGG